TCGTTAATTTATAATAATTTGGCTCAATTGTTAGTGTTTCTTCTTCAGATTACATTGTTTTTAACATATGCATAGATAGGGGTAATATTTATTTTTACCCTCACCAAGAAAGAGTTCTTTTCAGATGCTCAAGCACCAGGTGATGCAAATCAAGATTGCTCGTTTGGCACTTTGACCGTTTGAAGTCTGCGTGTCTACTCTGACAGTGGATGTCTATTTTGACAGATAGTGTAATTTACCAGTGTTTTGCAGAAGATTAATCGTCATTTCGATAATCTTTTAATCGTATTGTTGCGTGGAAAAGTGCTTATTATGAAGCACCAGGGTAAATCTTTCAATCCTTATGCAGGATCGAGCTTCTTCCCTTACTCAGAATTACGCCGTCGTCAGTACGGCTTCAAATCCAAGCTTGGTAAGTTTTTTAATAGTAAGCTTTACAAAAATGAACAAATGGATTAATAATGTTCTATCTTAATAAATGAAATATTATGATATTTTGATTCTCTCTTAGATCTACCTACTGACTGAGCTGTCAGTGACTCAGTGTCAGTTTACTCAGCTAACTGCAAGAAGTCTGCAAGATATATGGTTAATGATAAAATTAGTACTGTCACAGTGTCACTCACTGTCACAGGCATCACTACAAGTCTACATTTTGTGTTGACAATAAATATAACCATTCTTCAAAATTCAAATCAAGCAACTTACCTAGTAATTACTGAATTACAATGGTCTTGTTTATGTTCTTTTGTTTCTTTCTCATTGACATGATGTTCGTCATAGACATGACATGAGGCATCATCAGGCATGTATGTTCATATTGTATTTTTTGTACTACTCTTCATGTATACATTTGTTTTGTAAATGAATGAATAAGCATCATACTCATAGCCTCATAGGTATGCATAATTATTGTTGATGCAATATTGCTGGTGCAACTGCAACAGGGATGCTATACTGGCCACTGTGAGCAGTCAATGCCAGCATTAAACTATTGTAGAAGCTATCCACAGAAATCCATAAAATTGTATTGCAGAAGCACTCAATTAAAAGCAAAATGAAAGATTCACGTGCACCTTGTTCAGTCAATGTATATCTGGATTGCAAGACCTGTTTTCTCCTCCACTAAAATTTAAGACTATTTTTAATGTTATTTTCTATCCCTTTTTTCCCACAATATCTGTAATTATCTTTTTCCACTTCCAGTCACAAGCCCAGCTACTGTGTCAAACCTACAAATGATCATTGCAATCCACTTCTTATCTGCTATTCTTTATATACTCTCAGTCTTTACTCTTGCCCTGCTCATTCAGAACCACTTACATTGATCATCCAAATGCCTCACATTCCATCATCAGGTGCTCCACAGTTTCCTGCACATATCCAGCACCTCTGTGCACTGTGCTTGCATAAGCAGGAGGTCCAGTGGTCCACACCTCTTCTTCTGTAATGCATTCATTCCTACATTGATATGACTTTCACTACCAGTACCAGAAATGAGAAGCAAGTAGAAAGAGCATTTACAGTAACACTAAAAAGTACCATCAAACAGGGTAATAGGGATGGTTTTGAGAGTTTTTTTTTTTTTTGTTTATAACTTCTTACCATGAAACATTTCATAAACAAATGTAGGCTCATTTTATAGCTCTTTGCATGATTTATCAAATTGCATCTTCAAAAAAATTCAAAATACTATTCGTAAGGTGAGAGATGCAAAATAAAACTGTCCCGAATTACCCCTGGTAACAGGGTAATCCAGGACACTTAAAATAAAACTCAAGTTTAAAATATTTGAAGCATGCAGATTGTATTTGTCCATTACTAACAGTACTCTGAAGTCCTCCTCTTTCATTGTAGATGATGTAGATGTAGGATAAATGACATTTTCTGTGTTTTTTACTTGTTTATCCTTTATTGATATATCACCATAACCATTCATTATGTACCGTATTATTGATGTGATATTACTGTATCAATAAACATGCCATTGAGCATTTACAATGACCTTGTCCACTGCATGCTTCATATTAGAAGCCATATCATCAAACGGGGTAATAAGGGACGGGTGGGGTAAATTGGGATGTGCATCCCACATTTCGTAGAAATTTTGTAGCAGCTAAGCTAATCAAAATATTGCAAAACTAAAAATAGTGGTGTAAACTTCAACATTCTTACTATCTATCACGTATAAAGCTAGTTAATAAATCATGCATTTACTATCTCTAAAAAATTGCTGAAAAAAGTGTGAAAAGTGCAATTTTGGAAAAGTACCTACCTATACTAAGGTCTGGAGCAAAAAAAGATGTTTGCCCTCTTAAAAAATTTTACTTGCTTAAAAGTTGCACACAGGTGTCGGCTTGAAAACGCGATTGATGGAATTTGCCTATCTCATTCCAAAAATAAATGGCAGCCATTTCCGTGCGATGGGGTAATAAGGGACACCCCCCGGGGTAATAAGGGACACCCCTAAAAACGCATTTACAGTTTTACCTCAGTTAGCAAAGGCTCCAGTTAACAAAAAAAAAATTAACAACAAAGAATCTTGATTTCATTTACTTCACTCAGCAAAAAAAAATTTCACTTATCAAAAAATTAATGCATCATTGGTCATCACAAAATTGTGCACAAAAGGTCATGTATAGAATTGTGCAAGACGGTTACAGGACGGCTTGTAATTTCACACCATTTCAATTGGGTTAATTGAATTCACTAAAAAAAAAGATCATAAAAAACATACCTGAAACAGAAAGGAATGTTTTAGAAACAACCATCATGTTTTGGAGAAATAAAACATAGTTTAGGATAATTACTTTTCATTCTATGATGCCCAGTGTACAATTCTATGTATGATATTCTGTGCACAATTTTGTGATGAACGATGATGGTGATGATGCATTAACTTTTTGACAAGTGAAATTTTCTTCACTGAGCAAGGTAAATGTAATAAAAATTCTTTGTTGTTAATCAATATTTTTGTTAACTGGAGCCTTTGCTAACTGAGGTTAAACTGTAAATATGTTTATAAGGGTGTCTCTTATTACCCTGGGGGGGTCCTTTATTACCCCATCACGCAGTAATGGCTGCCATTTTATTTTTTTTTGAATGAGATAGGCTAATTTTGTCAATCGCATTTTCAAGCCAACACCTGTGCACAGCTTTAATTCAATTGAAATTTTTTAATATGGCAAATATTTTTTTGCTTGAGACCTTAGTAGAGGTACTTTTCCAAAATTGCACTTTTCACACTTTTATTCAGCGATTTTATAGAGATAGTAAATGAATGATTTCATAACTAGCTTTATATATATTATATAATAGATGGTAGTAAAAATAATGAAGTTTATCCCACTATTTTTAGTTTTGCAATATTTTGATTAGTTTAGCTGCTACAACTTTTCTACAAAATGTGGGACGGCATCCCGATTTACCCCGCCTGTCCCTTATTACCCTGTTTGACGGCAGGTTAAAAAGATGTATTTCCAAGACAACATGTCTTGAAAGAATGTGTATAATTTTGTTAAAATTTTTATTGAACTCTAATTGGTCCCATTAATTGCTATGAAAAGATGAGGAATTGATTCAAATCGTGGTAGTGTTATGGAAGTTACAAGAATTTTTCCCCTTGCTGTGACTTCTTTTTGCTTCAAATTATCTACATGCTTTGTTTTCTATTCCCTGAGACGGAAAATCTTTTGACAATGAATTTCACTGTGCAGGATGGGAGAATGAGTGCAAGCGTAGAATATACTCTTCATTGAACCCCAACCATTTTTGGGATCCCAATGCATCCCTGTCTGGACCAGAACATGTTCCAAATGCAAACCCTGAGCATTTATTGGACATAGATGACTCAGATGATGGAATTCAACACAATGCTGCTGGTTATGGAGGAGTTTTCAACTTGGAGTTCTCTCCTGATGGGTGAGATATTGCTTTCTAACAATTTGGTGTCCATGTTTGAAATTCATTACACACATTATTTATTCATTGATGAAGCTTAGATGTTATTTTAGTATTTTGTGAGTACTATCCATTTTTATGTGACAGTAAAATTTTATGTAACTATGTAATGCCATACTGTGCCTTGACTGCAAAGACAATACCTATTTAGTTTGCGTTATGTTTTTTGTTTTGATGGTTGAGCAGGAAGTTGCTGGCTGCTGCCTGCCAGAACAAAGCTGTTGTTCTTTTTGATCCCCTCACTCACCAGCAAACAGCAGCCATTCCTTCTGCTCACAGTGACTGTGTCAATGGCATCAAGTAAGTGGTTTATGTTCCAAATCAGCATTGTTAATATCTTGCATGTCCTAGGAATAAGCATTAAAAGGTAAATGCAGTGTCCTTTTGAAAACTTGCTATTATCTTTGTTAGATAAAGCAAGCAGTGCATAAATTTTATTAAATTTATACGGCTCTTTAACTTGCTCATAGTCATTATGGACATGATAGCGGCTGTTGCATAAATTGAAGTTTTTGTGAATTGATAGTAATGTATATATGTACTCAAAATGGATCAGAGATTTTCTAGTGGGGAGATGACAACTTGTCAGTATTAATGTGTCCTTATCAGACTGGGCTTCAGTGCGCAGCGGTGTGCCACAAGGAAGCATTCTGGGGCCTGTTTTATTCATTGCGTTTATAAACGATCTGCCAGAAGCTGTGTCTAGCATGTGCTCGATGTATGCTGACTACACAAAAATTTATAATACAAAAATATTTAGGAGTTGATATTGACAATGAGTTGAAATTTTTTAAGCATATTGAAGATCAAGTTAGTAAAGCCAATAAACGATCAGACACTCATTTGAGTTCCTAGATGCAGAAGCGATGAAGCAGTTGTTTCTTGCTGTTGTGCACCCAAAACTAGAGTTTGAAGATGTTGTGTGGTCACCAAAACTGGAAAAAAATAAGAATTTAATAGAAAGAGTTCAAAGATGCACAACAAGGTTAATTCCGGGCTTGAAAGGCAACTCCTATGGGGATTTTTAGAGTACATCACTGTATTATTGGTAAACTGCTGATATAAGAGTTGTTTCCTTGTGATATGCTGCATTTGTAAGTCTCTGTGATGCTGATGTCACTGACTCACCGCTATCATTTAATCCTTCTGCTCATTTGCAACTGATGATGTGCCCAATTCAGGATGGTGGATTATGGAATACAGATATTGTGAAGTGTCAGAAGTATGAATCACTACTTGGATTTAAATTGCAGATGCTGGGCATACAGTGTGTTAGATCTATAAGTATACAACTATTATATTTCTTCACTGCATCTTTTGTTTGTGCCGGTAAACAACTTTCTTTAATAATTAAGCTTGCTTATAAAGAAAAATAAAATAATTTTTATTTTATTAAAATTCTTATTTCCTGTGCATATCTGTCTAATTTTTTAATCATGACTTTTTTATAGGGAAATTTTTTTCCAGCTAATTGATGGGTGAAATTACCCAAGCAATAGTAGTGTGGTAATGCACTCTGAATATTTAACTGAATTTGCAGATTTTTAGACACGCGGTTGTTTGCATCATGCAGCGATGACCACACAGTAGCGCTATGGGATGTTCGACACCTGCGTCAACGTGTCCACACTCTGCGGGGACATACAAAGTGGGTCAAAAACATCGAGTATCATTCAGCTGACCAGCGTCTCATCACCTCGGGATTTGATGGCAATGTAATTGCTTGGGACATCAACAGGTATGTTTTTCTATAATTTGTTTGTTATCATCAGTGGTGGCCACAGTTCCGCTAACTGCTAATTAGCAAAGCTAACTTTTTCTTTATCGCATTAGCTGTTCAGCTAACTTTGAAAACCTTTAGCTGACCAATTAGCTTCTGCTAAATTTAGTTCCGCTAACTGGCAGTCCGCTATAAACGTTTTAAATCTGATTTAATGCTAAGTATCGTAAGCCGTGTGCCACGCCCACACTGACGGCTGACTATGTCATCAGATGTTAGTCAGCCAATCACGTCTTGTGTTACTGCCAGTCACACAAGACGTCCTGTACTGCAGTCCTCTGGTGGATGCCATGCTGGCAGGCATCACGAAAAGGTTTGGGTCCCTCCTAGAAGACAAGGAGTGCCAGCTGGCAGCGGCCTTCCATCCTAAGTTTCTCCTGTTCTGGCTGGAAAAGAATAATCACAGCCATCTCAGCAGGGTACAGAAGGCCATGGAGACCGCCGTGGAGACAGCCCTGAGGGAGACCGTTGAGGAGAGCAGCAGCACCACCAGCAATGACACGGATGGGGAAGATGACTTCTTCAGCAGCATTACTCAGCCCATGGAGTGCAGGAGGAGCCACGGGTCACTGAAGTCCAAGGCACAGAATTTGGTGAAGACCTGGCTGGAAAGCAGCTCGAAGGAGGAATTGACTGACATTACCTTCTTGGGCGAGCAGGTGTTGATTAACCTTTTCGTTAAGTACAACACAGCCATCCCATCCAGTGCTGCAGTTGAGCGCCTGTTTTCCATAGGCTAGGACATCTTGAGTGCCAAGAGAGCCACCCTGTCAGATGCCAACTTTGAGTGGCTGATGTTCATGAAGGGCAACAATCATCACCTCGAGGAGATGAAGGCGAAGGGCAAGCCAGAGTAAAAGGAGTGTGTAACCCTGGTGTAACCTTAGTATTTCTTATTTGTTTAATAAACTCTATGTTGAATGTCAACTACTGCCTAATTTCATTTGTTCATTAAATTATTTGTTACGTACATCTTGATCATCATCTTATCTTGGCATGCTACATCTTTTTGAAAAGCTCCTTTTCAAGGCTTAAAGTTCAGCTCTATAGGCCTTTTTTTTCAGAGTTTCCCCTTCCCAAATTAAGCCAAATCTAAATTTATATATTAAAATTTAGCGGTTGGCGGTTAGCGGCAAATTCCGCTGCATTTTTCGGTGATTTATCGGTTTAGCGTTATCAAAGCTAACTTTTCAGTTAGCGGATTAGCGGTTATCAAAGCTAACTTTTAGCTTAGCTGTGCCCACCACTGGTTATCATACTGTTGGTATAAGGAAATAATTTTTTGCTTCAAATGATTTAGAATTATTTAGATTAATATTTCAGTTTATAATTTATAAAATATTTTTATTAATGCCTATGTTGATATTCCCACTTTTGACATCAGACCGTGTGGGGAGTCTGTACATCAAGAACACCTCTTCAAACTGCATGGCTTGATGCGGATGAAGCTCAGCCCTGACCTCAACAAGCTGGTACTCTGCACCTCTACAGGCTTCATGCTCCTGCTGCAGAACCTTGACCTCGAACATTTTTACCGCGACATGGCTAACTTTAGCTTGAAAACTGGACTTGTGAGTTGCCTTGCCATTGAACAGTGATAATTTAATCAATAAGATTTTGGTTTTCTCCTAGAGGTGTTTTATTCTGTTACTCCTGATACACAGTAGTTTATTACATTATGAGGTTATAAATGAACTACTGCTCTGCATTAATGTAATGTTTCATAGGCGTTACTTGTTCTTCCCAATTTTTGCGCCATGGTGGTGGCCAGCAGAATTTATGAGCCAAGTGAAAATGGTTAACGTGTATTTGCTGTAGCCACATCGCTTCCACTTTATTATTGTGATGCATTAAGGTAAAATCTCAATGTATTATGTGATGCATTTTGTGATGCATTAAGGTAAAATCTCAATGTATTATGTGATGCATTTTTAAATTTTGAAATTTTGAACTGATATGTATTGTACTTGAATTATTTAAATGTCTTCATTTCATTATGTTTGATGTGGCCGTATTTGTGTTGCAGAATTTACGCGGGTGCACAACGGACGAGCGGTCCGTGATAGGACGGTCGCGCAACAGGCCCGTCATCATCGAAGACTTCCCTAAGTTTAACAAGGCTCAGATAATTCACTCCATGCAGGTACCTACTCGTCCATTCCAATGTTTAATTTTTTTCATTATTTTATGAAATATTTTACTACTTTTTTATCACTGGCGTTATTATGAATGAAGATACAAAACTTCAAGAATGCAACTGCTTCATTGACTGTATTGCCCTGAGTGATTCATCATACTTATTTTGATTTATATATCCAAGAATTCATCATGAATAATAAATAAGGTTCGTAGTTCGAAAGCAATAATTGCAAAAATGGAGCACCTTTTTGGTTTTCATTTTTCAAAAGTCCATTTGACGTTTCACCCTGACAAGCCAGTCATTAATCCAAATCCTTGTTGTAAAGTAGATGCCAGTGGTATTCAGTTGAAAGTTTTTCCCCGCGTATGTTGAGAATATTTTATATGAAGTCTATTTTATTCAGATACATCCACAGTCGTGGGCTGTGCTGTCACGTAACACGTCTGCTAGTGATGAGTCAGAGGTGAGTCAAACAAAACATCCATGATTCAAATGTTCATTTTTTTCAACTCGTTTCACAGTTGACGAATTCGCCCCCTTCAGTGCTATGAATCACATAACGAGCCTATTATTTACCTTAATCAATGTGTTTGATCATTTGAACTGTTACCATGATCCAACTCTGTGAGGTTTGATGCATCATTTAATGCTAGGGTTCTCCAGTCTTGTAACTCTGATAGGGTTATGTGAGTTTCTGATGAATACTGTTGCACTGTATTTCCAGTGGACCTGCGTGCATGACATTCAGGAATTCCCAATTCACGAAGGCCCCAGCGAAGATACCCCAAAATCTACCAAAGTAAGCAACACCAAAGCCATGGGGAACTTGCCTTCTTCCCCAAACAGATTGGCAGTGGATGATATGGAAGAGGGCGAAGAGCTGCCCTCACGAGGATATTACATCGTGGGTGACGAAGTAACTCCTCGCTTTGAAGTGCTGTTGGACCAGCGTGGTGGGAATTGGTTTGATGTTCCCATAGTGCGGCAGTCGGCAGTGAGAAGAGACGAACCAGAGAATGAAGTAGAAGAAGACGAGGAAGACGAGACTGACGAGGAAAATGACGAACAGCAACCTTTGCAAGCTAATGCTGAAGAAAACAACAGAAATGCTTTTGAAGATGACAGTGATGAATTTGACATTGATGACTTGGTCGTGGAGAACAATAGGCAGCGGGCGATTATGATGGGCCTGAATATACTGATAAATCGAAACGCAGCGTCGGTATACGGCGACCTACGGGCCGTAGGCGACGGAGAGGGAGCAGAAGCTGAAATTCGTGAGCGACGACGACGTGGTATGAGAATACGTCCGGCGACACAAGCAAGTTCCTTCAGACAAAGACAACTGAACAGAAATAGATGGCGTGTGACACGTCGCCTGTCCCAGCTGACCCGCACGTATAGAGAACAGCTAGCGCTTGCTCGTTTAACTGCAACCTCCATAAACGGCGCTGCCATCGATGGATTAAACCGTCAAAATAACCCGCCGCCCCGAGCACCAAACCCAATAGACAGCAGGAGCTGGAATGAACGAACTGATGAAATAAGGCAAACTTTGCGGTCATTGAGAAGTGGGCTTGATATGGTCATGGCTAACCTGAACAACGTGCGCCAACAAATCGACGACCGAGTCGAAACTGGGCTCAATTATTCAGGGTTATTACCAGCGTTGAGAGAAGGCATTCGCACCACTCCAATGTTCCTGGAGAGATACCGCTCGCCTAGTGCCACTTGGCGTGCCATATACGCCCAACAACGACCTCGATTAACTCATAACATTTTAGAACCTAACGTTGGCGCTGGTTTCATAAAAGAACTCTGCTTCAGTGCTGATGGTCGTTTAATATGCTCGCCGTTTAAGCAAGGCATTCGCTTGCTCGCGTTCGATAAGAATTGCGCTGAAATGTCCCACTGCGTGTCGTCTGGTGAACCAGAGAAACTTGTTGTCTTATCTCGTATTCCTGCATGTCACCGTCGCAGCGTCGTGAGCACCAAGTTCTCTCCGACACACCTCATGCTCGTGTCCGGTTGCCTCGATGGCAAAATTGCCTGGCATCATCCCATTCTGTAATGAGAATATACAATTGATAATCTTGTATGAATGCCTAATCCAGTATCTGAATTGAAGTGCTACTGTACCGCCCCCGGTGCTATGGTAGGGTATATAATTGCATCATCTTATGCTAGAATATTAAATGTGTATTGTGCACCTACTACATGGAGGAGCATTCTGACGCATGTTTTCGTTAGCGGGTCCGTAAGGTTTTGTGTTCCCAGGAGCAGTGTTCCTGATCTACCTACTGATGTGTACGTAATTATCTGACAGTCGCAGTTCCGAGGTTATAACTTTTAACTATATTGGTTATATATTGTACTTTATTGGTTATATTGGTAGAGTCCTTGTTTTGTGCAGGTGGCCTGTGCACATTTTTTAGTTTCTGTTGCTGCATCTTTTTTCCCTTATTTCTTCTTAGTCATTCAGAAATGAAAATGATGCTTCTTTCTTGCCAGCGTCTGTACGCTGATCAAGTTAGACTTTCATCCGCGTTTTTGGCAAAGATTATTTTCTTTTTGAAAAAATAAGGCATTCAAGACTTGATTGCGTAACAAATTTAATAGACTTGTGTTTAATGCAACATTGTATACTTAAATTACTGTGAAGCGCAATGAAAATCTCTACTATCGCTGTCACTAGGGTGCTCTGAACTTTCGATCGCGTTTCTAGGCAGTTTGAGCAACTGTAAATATCCAAAGCTCTTGTATATTAGGATTAATGGTAACTGTTCATCGCTCTATTGAGATGATTTCCCTCTTCATCTCGCAAGAAAGCAGCCATCTAACCAATAATATCGTTTATGTACTCAATAATCCGCAACATTTTCTACCATCATTTTGTGCAAGCTTATACATGTCACACTTTCAATAATTAACTCGGCGAGCGTTGTGTGATCGTCTGTTGAAAGACATTTACTCACTTCTTCCAATATAAAATACTTCACTTTGACTTTCCTGATATGATAGCAGCTTGATGCTTCACGAAAATGTGCTTCATCTCAGATTGCGGCTACCCATTGTCTTGCCAGTGTTGTCTGTGATAGGTCGCTCGCTTACACGTGAATTCTGCTCACAGGTCGATTATAAGACTTGTATAACTTGTTTTAAACAAGCAGATGAAGTGAACAAGTACTAAATCCTGAATAATATACTTTTGTGGAATAGTGAGTTATCCGTACGCTTTAATCAAATCTTTATTAATAATTGGTTCGTTAAGAAACAATTTTTTAACTTCATCCCAGTATTTGAGGTAATAACTAGTGACTTTTTTAGTGACCATACATGACAATTGAGCGTAAACTGCTTTAATCGTCCTGCGCAACCCCATTTTTTCTACAGGGCTTTTCATTATTTTTTTAAGTTTTCCCTGGTGCATTCTGTAATTTGTTTGATTTGCTTTTTAATCATTGATCTAATCTGAGTATTTATTAGGTTCTTAACGTAACACTGGATTTGTTCACGCTTTAACTCGCTCAACTTTATAAGCGAGATTAAAATTTAATATTCGTAATCTCATGTACTTCATATATTTGATGATAAAAATTATGTATGGAAATGAATAACCATTTAATGGATTCGATGTCTGAATAAAAAATATTTACCTAGGACGGGAAATTTTTGTCCCGGTCCGTACTAAAAACCAGCATGAGTGCTCAAGCCAAAACCGCGGTAGGTTTCTGACAATTTTGTTCAGCTACAGTCTTTAAGAAGCCTCATAGACGTCTCACAATCGTTTTTAAGATATGTGAATTGTATATGTGATGATTATTAGCTAAATCATGGTGAAGTCTGGTGTTAGAGTTGCTATATGTTACTGCTAGAAATGTAAATAATTTGTCAGTAGGCCTCACGTTTTATGCGCGGAGCTAATAAAGATGAACGTCCTTACATGTGTGCAGTGAAATGGTTTGTCTAAAAATACGCGAGACGAAGGGATTTTTGCTGGTTTATCTTGAATTAATTGGGCCATCATTTATTAGGGTTAGCAATTGAGGATAGCTTTGCCCGTGTTTCGATACGAACTTTCTAGTTACAAGCCCGCACTTTCAGATGCGGACTCGGCAGCTCGATGGGCCTGATTACAGGTTCTTGTGTGGGGTTAACTTGGTGCATAAGCAGATTTAATTATTCTTGCCTTCATTGTCGCATTTTGGTAAGCAGCCCACTCACCCTGCTTCGCCTGCTGGCCGAGTATATTAGTTTCAGTTCATTTTTCACTCATGCCAGATGACTTTTAACCTGAATGTAACAGATTTTCTAACAAATTAACTGGATAATTAATCACTACTAATAATTGGTGTCGCGGGAGTTATCGCACTCTAAGTTAGAATGATCGTAACAGTCATTGAAATGCTCGTTGTGATACTGCGTGGCATTCGTTGATAAGACATAGGGCGTCCCATCCGATGATTGTATTCCGGAAACGTGTGAGCAGGTAATGATGCGGATGTCATAGTTTAATGACGATGCATTTACATCTTGTCCGAAGAGGTGTACGTTTAGAGACTAGAAAGAAATCTTAATTATTGTTGGCTCTTGCACACTGGTCGCCGCTTATGTGAATAGGTACTTATATTGGCGGTAGCCTTCGATCGATCGCTAGCCGGTTGTTTGCTGGTGATGAGAAACCAAAGCTTTGTGGGCAGAGGTGGCTAGCCATCTAGTACAAGATATTTCATCACAAGAGCAATTCATCATTGACACATTTGATTATAATATCAATTAATCATAAATTTTTTTACTGCATTAATTGCATTTTGCAAACCTAAGTGCATGTAGGTTAGATTAAATTGGTTAAAAATGAAATGTGTCTGTGATGAAATGTCTCCTATGATGAGGTGCCAGGAAATCTGTTGGCAGACTGTCCGAAGCAACGCTCGGATCGACGTGGAACAATGCCTTTTTTTCTCAACCGAGTAATATAGAAGCCCAGGTTCAAGATAGCTGCTCCCACATGCTCAACTTTTATGTTGGCTCGTAGGGCGACTGATGCTCGCAAGGGTTATAAGATGACTTATTAAAATATTAATCAGGTGTAAATGAACTACATTATAGCTAGTAATTACATGTATGGATAATATACCCTCATAAGGAGCTACCGCCATGGAGTATGTATGTCAGCGCGTCATTTATGTCGGCTTCAACGCCATGAATGACTGAAGGGTCACAAAAATTATTCATTGTAAAAAATGATCCATTTATTTGATCTAGGTATATCAACACATATTTCCGCATGTTACACATCATCGCTACGCAAAACCACATTTGCTCCAGCGATAAAAAACTACAGAGCACTCTAGATTTACTTGTATTAAATAGAATATTTTTACAATTATCACAAAATTAAGAATAGGTTGTATAAATAGCTACTACGTAGGAGCAGACGGACCACAACTAGTTAGGTGATATGCCAGCAGGCTCGTTCACACCACCTGCTAGAAGGTGGCAAGCTCATGTGACCAACTGGAGGCCGGCCGCGGTGCGAGTTGAAAGCCGTGCCGGATGGCGTGGAGTATGATTGAATTTATTTAATTCTGACAATGCGTCATTGTGTTCTTCAGAACTTTCCTTACGTCAAAAATGAACTTGAGTAGTAAAATGCTCAAGATTTTTATTTTGAACAGTTTCCATGTGGATTAAACAACTGTGCATCATGTGTAATTTTAAAGTTTTATTAAGCAACGCATACTCTACGCGATTCTTGATCATGGACTGAAAATTTAATTACATTTACAGTCCAATTTGACAGCGACTTCAAACGACAAGCTATATTTTCTCGCAACGCTGAGCTTGGACGAACGCAATCCGTTACAAAAATCGAAATACTGTACATGGCGTCGCATAACACCAGCTTGCGATTAAGGGCTATGAAAAGTGCAAAATGTGTGATGAAATGGAGAAAATGGTGCTAGTGGATTTTAAAATATAATTTAAATGTTTTAAGCCTGTCTGTATTTTATTTGTCAAAATTTGGACTAAAAATTATAACAATTACTCTGTAAAAAGAGACGAAATCAATATAAAAGATAGTTTCAACATGAAAAACGAAAGAAAGGTGTTTCTGTGAGTGGGATAACAAAGATAATGAAATTGGTCCTGTTGATGTCATGCAACCGGAATCATGACTAATCTCCAAAAATCATTCCATTAGATCGGTGTTGATGGTATCTCAGATGAGCTTGGCACTCCAATCTCATTAGATCCCCTCAAGTGAATGGGGACTGACAGGCACAGTTATTACAACTTATTGCAATGTAGTATTGCCGTACACCGCTACTGATAGATTACTAATTTGTTTGTCAGCATTAATTTTAACTTAATAGCCTTCGATTTAGCCCGAGAATCAAATTTTTGTTAGCTACTAAGACGCAGTTTGCAAAGGCAGGGCAGCGTATCCGTCCCGTTTCCTCCTCACATGTAACGCATACACAGATGGCAAGAGCAAGCATCAAAGACTACTGAACCAGTCCAACTCTTAACAATTCAAACTACTACGGCATTCAAATTATGTACAGAGGATCTATTGACCGTACGAACTAAATTACACAATCAAAGCCTTATTAAAACACTGGGAAGGAGCAGGGTCCAAGATGCACAGACAATATCTTAACATATGACATCTTTTTTTTAGCATGCAATTCAGCCAAGTCTATGCCTAAGTTTAATTTTTCGTTGGAGTAATATGAATAAGAAGAATAAATTTTGAGTTTGACGATTCTCTTACGATCTCATTTTACTTAACCAATTAAAGGAACATTACATAATTCTGAAGATGTACTTTATTGCACAATCATAACAGACATAGCACTCAGTCTTAACACCCGCATAACCCAAAACATGTCTTCTAAATAAAACCGATAGAAAAGAGTGAGTTACATTTATGAAGTCTCTGAGTGAACTTGCTTTTGCCTACGCCGTAAATTTACGTAAAAAATTACGTAGTTTCGATGACGAACGATTTAAGGTTAGGACGAGTGCGTCGTACACATGATCATTACGTTAAGAATTGAGTGAAGAAATGAGCATAAGTCGTAATATTAAATTAACGATAGGATTAACACAAAGTTTGTATAGATTGTCAACTCAATACACAAAATAACCACGATCCAAAGTTAAATAAATGACTGAGAGTACATGCTGAGGTCGACTCCGGCGGGACACCGCAGCTCAGAGAGTAAACGTGAATATCAACAACGATGAACATAACCAACGAAAAGCAAACATTCAACTGCAATTTAAGAAAGAATCATGCCGACGAATCGACAAAAAGATTCTGCTGACCTTCATAGTAAATTAATGCATCAATAGAAATAAGATTTCACCAAAGAAATAGTACCAATTATCTAATATTATCTGTATAAATAACAATCTACTAAGTAACTCAAGAAATGTTTCTATTTTAAAACCATGCAAAAAAACTTAAGCCACACAATATAAATAACATAGTGACTGAATTAGGCGCCAATGCGCTCATTGCACGACACGGAAAATGGGAGAGTGAACACATATGCGCACCGCACACATCGAACAGAGATAAGGTAGTTATCCATATAAGTCATGAAATGTTAGGAGGAAAATATGCTCTGTATATCGGTCATGTCTCGCCAATTCATGAGTCACTTTTTGGTTAAACCTGAATTTCATTGCATTCAAGCTGAAATTTAAAAAATTTATGGACGTTAGAGTTTCCAAGGAAACTAAGGGACGTTAGAGTTGCAAGATATGATACCAGTGTACAAACAACTCATTATGTTAATAAATGGGACCAGCATATAACAATATTTTAGTTGTCAGGAGGATTTAATAGAATAAAATTAATTAAATTGCGAGAACTCCTGTCTGATTGCACAACAAATCAAGCTGGACGATTATAAAGAAGATATTGCTTGCACAGGCGTCCTGAGACATAATTGGAAACAAGCCACGACTATTCAATAGCTTTCAAATGAGGCATAAACATAAATGTTTTTTTTAATTTTCACTTTTAAATTGGAAAAAATTTAAATTTATCGTATAATTATAATCATTAACATTTTTGTTAAATGAAATTCAAGTCAATTAAAATTACATTCTAAAATTTATTTTCCGAGAAGAAGACCAAAGTTTTATATTTCATAGTCGCGTGGCTTGGATCACTAATACAAAAATCAGAGTAAACGTTGAGAGGAAATGATGACAGGCAAGAGGAAATGTTAGAGGTATAAGTTTAAAATTGTAATGGAACCAAAAAAATCGAAATTCATAACTTTTATAATGGCTCGCAATAAATGGAAGAGAATTAGGCATGGGACAGGAAAAATGCAGAGAAGCGATGTGACCTGAACTGATGAAGCATTAAATTGCCTAATATCAACACAACTCTGGCTCGTGCCTAACCTCGTTGAGCGTCGACGGTAATGTTATTGATACGAATCAAGGAACAAACCAAATGATTTGTATGTATAACAAAAACAAAAAATAATGCATAAGTAATTATGAATCTTTTCAAATTGTGAAAGAACGATCGAATTGTACATATCATCAGCTTTAACATAACAATTTCCGATAACATCAGTCGAGTTCAGCATGATAGAAATTTGTAAATAATTTTTATCAGATCATCGATACGATGACGACCTGCAACATTTAACCTTGAGTCGGGCAACTTGACAAGTGCCCAATACAAGTTGTTTGGGAGGCAGTGGTCAAGAAATTTATCGAAACTTTCATAAACATCTCAGCACATGAGGTTTTAGTTTTTTTCAAACAATGATTAAAGAATAACTTTTGTCAAAGCTTCCATAATTCGGTACCATTAATGTTAACTCTTAACCAGCCCCGACGGGAAACGACAAATTTTAATTAAAAAAAACATCTTTTCGATACTGAGATGCAAAGGTTGCAGAAAAGTGCGCAAACTCCTGGTGGATTGCGTACTCGCGCTCGATTTCCGCCGACGTCCTGAAAAATACCTCCAGTGTCGGCATGCGTTAGCTTGAACAAGCAAATAGGTTCCATTCGCTGTTACGGGAAACAGCAATGGCAGTTTCAAGAGCTTTGAGATTTTGTTCTACCGTAACAGTAAAACGATAGATCGAGAGACAAATACATCAAATCATTTGTAATAGTCACTAAAAATCGCTCAAGAAATACATAAATCAGCGATCCACAAGAGGAAGCTTCATTGTAAACTTATCAATAGAATCACTTCACGAAGATCGAACTGGATCATTTTGTGCGTCAAGCTATTTTAAAGAGTACATTAAAGTTCAGTTACCTAGTATTCAAACCGCAAGCCAATTTACACTACAATATACATGAGTTATTGACAGCTTGTTCACGAACTCACAAAGTATTCGGTGAGCTGAACGAGTGACTTGAGCTTCTTGGGATTCTTTTACTTGATGAAGCAATTATTTCCACAGATCAATAACATGTCATATCGTCCTAGGGTCAAGAATGCGGACATGGTCTTTAAATGTCGAATTTTATTTGAAGCCGATGCAAAATATGCACCCGAGAGAAGCGATCATCACTTCACTTGATTAGAACACAGAACAATTTTATAGACATTACGGATCAAGTTCTGCACAAATTCAAAGTATTGATTTCCGTGGTTGAGCTCGAAATTCCGGTCACTACAATTCACAATGAATTCATTCAATCCAAAAATATTCTGACAAATCTATTTTTCGTGGAAATAAACTGAGCAACCACACGAAGTTAAGAGGAAAAAAAATTGAATGGCGCTTTTTATGTTGTGATCGGTAGAAGGATGATTGCAATACAAGTTTCCATACAAAATCTAAAAGATTATTTCATCACCAATAAATTTAAACAAAAAACACCACAAATAACGCCCTCGAGCGTTCAAGAAGCGCCCAGAAAGCAACTCTTATGACATAAAAAGTTCACACACTCTGAACCTCGTTGTGAGTTTAGGTCCACAGTTAGGGTAACTTCTTAAGGTAAACTCGGCAAGAGACGATAATCGAGAAAAAAACATTCACGCATTGAGATAAGAGCAGGATGGCCAACACTCTTACGAACAAAGGCTCGCGTTGCTAAAAAGTGAGATCAGAGCTTAGCAAACTAGACTTATAACTTAGGAGATGCCAAACTTTATCAGCGCCATTGGAAACACTAGTGAAATAAGGCAGCGCGCAAACTATAAGGAACCAGAAAAACTTTGTAGTCCAGAACAACTTGCTACAAACGAACGCATTCCAAAATAAAACAGCATAACATTTTAGACAGTAAAATGCTGAATTGAACGAACACCACAATAACTAGAAGCGAGAAAGGCGGAATCGTCCCGCCAATTCAATAAGATAGAGAGCAACACCAGAGAACACACTACAGTTCCCACAACACATGTAAAGGTGGCCATCAGTTAGTTTCTAGCCAAAATCAACATTAAAAACATCTAGGAATTATTCTCTTTTCTCTTGGACAATTAAATCTTCCAACTAAAATAATGTATGATTACCATCAAGAAAATGGAACATAATTATAGTTGAATGCTTAGTAAATCAATATATAATGGACGTTCATCGATTGTTGATTTGCAATACGTTTGGAACTTTACAGCACATGTAAAAAAGCGACCTAACACATACATAAATGACTAAGACGGTGTTTTTATATTTGTTGGTTAACTGTTCCTTACTTCTGAGGTACGAAGAATATATTAAAGAAAAAATAGACCAGACTAAATTATACGGATTATTTGAACGAAAGTAAAATCGGTGCCATTCACAATGTGTTCACCTGGATTTCATTCATGCTGAAACTTGTAAAGCCAGTTATCAAACACATTTAAGTCATAGAATATAAAAAGGAAATTTATTTTATACAAAAACGTAGCCAATTGGAAGATTATCTTGCAAGTAATTAGTCTAAATTTTGCACCCTGGAGTTTTCGTTTTTCGGTTTCAGAATTTGTCTCGAATGCACCCAAAAAACCAGAGGTAGTCAGTCAACTTCTTAGTCCTGGTCATAGAAGAATAATTATGTCAGCTAAGGGTACGCACACAGTGAAAGCAGGTTGCCAGCGTGCTGGTTACCTGCTCAGGCTGGCGCCTGAAACCATAGAATACAGAAGCCTATTCGTACAGGTTTTCACTGTGAACACTTGCATTATTATCCTATGTTCATTCTTGTGGCAGGTTGGCGCAGGTTGCCCGCGCGGGCAAACCTGCTTTCACTGTGTGCGTACCCAGTATGATGCAAGCTACGAGTGACGCCAGCAAAGCAGCTTAGAGTTTAAAACGTTCTATGCAGAGAAACTTCATATACGAATGACGACACAGATTCCCAAAATTGGAGTAACCAGCTCCGAACGGGTTTATTACAGCCAAAAACTAATACGTCAAATTCACAAAGCTGAACTGCTCGGCAATCACTATCGAACTTGTTATGATATCATTTTGAGAACTATCCAGTTATTCAGCGAAGTCAGCAATATACCGTAAACTTCAAAATGATATTGCACGGTGTTCATTACTTGAGGAAGGAATTTAATACGTGAATAAGACTATCATGTCTCCGAAAGTTTTCCTTAAGTAAAGAAAATTCCTTTCCCGTTTTAGACCGTAATTTTCTTGCTTCAGTTGTTCGGTAAGCAGTTTCACCATGAAATCATAAAGAAAAAGCATTAGAAAAACACATATTATGAACTTGAGTAACAAAACAAAGGGCAGGAAGCCACAAGAGATGACAAGTTATAAACTGAAGAGGAAAATATGCCATTGTGTCCATGTTGTTGTTGTTGTTAAGATGTAAGGGAGCGCAAGTCGCTCTAGGATCTTGGCTGCAGGGCAGAGGAGGGAGATAGGGCGGTAGGAAGAGCCCTGGTTACCGGGTTTGCCCGGTTTGAGGATTGGAATAATTATTGAATTTTTCCAAATGGATGGGATAGAGGCTGCGGCGACGGAGATATTAAAAATGCGGGTGAGGAATTGGACACCGCGTGGTCCGAGGTACTTAAAATGCAGGACCGTGAGCCCGTCCGGGCCTCGCGCGGAGGAGTTCTTGGAAGCCGCGATAGCGAGCTTCACCATGTCGGGTGTGAACGGGGAGAAGTCCCTGTCCAGGGGATGTTCCGCCCGGATTCTACGTATGAGGCGGCGGGTGGAGGGGCTCTGGGAGTGGGGGGCAAGTGAAGTGAACAACTTGCAGAAGGCGGAGGAGATCTTGCGCTGAGATGAGAGGGTATTCCGACCAAATTGGATTGGCTGATTGGGGGGAGGACACTTCTCCCCATGTTGTCTGCGACAACATGGACACTTTCCCTAGCAGGAAAGTGTCCATGTTGTCGCAGACGTGGGATTTAAGAACACCAAAATACGTAAGAAAGTCGTAAGACCTCGTACATAATGATGTAAGATTTGAGAAGTAAGGAAAAACTTTATCATAGAATGAGCTTATAAGATAACCATGAAGTTTAAGATAAGTAAATTTTGCCGTTTAGAAGCAATATAAAATGGACGAAGAGAGTGTCATTAGAAACCTAATAAACCTAATGAGTTATCACAAGTATCGGAACAAGTGTAGGTAGCGTTCAAGTTCATGGTGGTTTCTCAGAACCTGTAGCAAATTTGAGGAACTATGAAAATTCGTTTTTATTCTTGACTTGAAAGTGAAGATGAAACAGGTATTGGCAGAGCCCAACTATTGGCAAACACAAATAAAGTAAAGACTGAAACGAGTCAACTTCCAAGATCATCGAGCACCAACTAACGCAACATTAGTACGATGATGGCTCGCTCAAATAACGTGATAATTGACATTGCCCGAGAGTTACAGCTTATTTTCAAATGATCTAGTGGCGTGCAGAAGACATTGTTCGATGCGTTGTTGTCCGATGGTTTTTGGACCCAATTAAAGCATAAACGATTGTGAGAAACGAATCATAACCATTACTGGTTGTTTCAGTAGAAGGAACATTGCCAGCGCATAAATAATAATAAATAATCCAAGCTCTGCTTAGAACAAACACTATCAGACTTAGTCTGCAGTACACAGTCATACGTTTCTGGCTGAAGCTCTTCGCGCGAGTAATGAAGATCCCGATAAAGTAAGACCAGCTGAAGACACGAAGATAAAATAGCTCTAATAAGCCTTAGGTCATGAGGCGCTCAAAGCGAGATCGTGGAAGCGTGAGGAAGTCCCGCCGTTGCCGCAGGAGCGCAACATCCAAGCCACGCGTTGCGTTCGCAACAGAGTTCCACGCTCCTATCCGTAGGAGCGGCAAAAAATATCGAAATTCTGTACAATATAAATGCCATTCTCGCAAAACACGCACAACTCAGTACTTCTGCAAGTAAGTAAAGATCAAGAATAATAAAAAATTTATGCCTAGTAAGCAATGTTTGTATTTAATTAAGTATATATAAAAGATTCGGCCAAAAAGCAGTAAGAATTCTACGTATGTTCTGTGAACAGCCCATTTCAGCCTCAAATATATCTATTGGCTTAAAAATTCGACTCCCAGCAGAAAGTTCGCTTCAACGCGCGGCTCCAAGTTTTCATGTTGATTGCCAAAGCGCTTGCAAATATCGAATAACCAAGAACTAAATGATAATTAGGTATCAATCATAATTCTTAATGTGAAAGAGCTGAGGGAAGTACTGAATCTGTCCGGTTAACAACACGAATCAGTAGTGATACTCCAAGAAAATTAATTCGCTCACAAGAGATATGATGACGCGATTTATCAAATTTGTTCCGTAGTGTAATTTATTAGGGTTATCTCAAATGTTGGAGACTAACACGATTACACAGAATGGCAGAGATTAATTGAATAATAAATATTGAGTAGTAGCTACTGTGAAGCGTGGAACTGTGCTAGTGCAGCTTCGGTAGTTAGTAGGTAATCGGAGTTACGGCTTTCTACTTAATGGCAGTCAAGAAATCAATTATAATGAATTAAATTTCGCACAGCTCGTTTTCGTACAGAAATTTGTCATTGATGCGAGTCACAGCGAGGTCATCACGGGCTTTTTTCAGGGTCGATCAGACATCTTCACGACACCTAAATATAATATTTCTGCTGCACAAAATTGCCTCTAAAACAGGCGTCTTGCTGCAGAAGTACAAAAACATCGACCTCTTCGAGCTGGACGCGTTCAAGTTCGTGTCACAGGAAAAGATGGAATGAAAAAGAGACAACAAGAGCTGCTCAGGCACCGTTGTTGGATATGTGAGGTAGTTTGGTAGCGTTGTGCTGGGCAGAGGCGACGTGCTGGGACAGAGAATGACTGTGACGAGGATGAAGCGTTGCTGATGCGTCGTCCGTAATGGTCGCCCGGAGCTTAGTCGCCGACGATCCTATGGTGTTGAGCTTGCTCGTCGATGACGAAGAATTCCTCGACGAGGAAGAAGAAGATGGCGTGGTTCGAAGGGTATTTGATGACGAGGGAGAGTCTGCATTTTTGTCTAAAGGAGGCTTCGGTAGCCGTCTCCTGAGCCAGCTGTGTTTGAGAGCCATGCTGGGAGTTATTCTGAGAGCGGGGTCCCATTCTAGGCAACGACGGATGAAGTCCATGAAGAGTGGATCGGTGCAGCCCTTGAGCGCCGCCTGCAAGCTCTTGGTCCCTGGAGGCCCTCTGGGCTTCCCTCTTCTGCTGTGGCCGCCTTGCACGATCACCGATCCGTCAACTAGGGTTCTCGTAACGCAATATCGAGGGTGCCTGGAATAAGTTTGAATTTTAATAAATTGAAGAATAATTTATAGAAACTATATTTATTTTGCACTGTATCAACCATTTAAGTTATTTATCAATTTAATTCATAAAATCAACAAATTGATTTTAAATTTGAACCGTAGACCAAAGGCTTTGGACATGCCGTAAATGCCCTTTTAATGAAAGTTTTCACATTAAAGATACAAGCAAACCGCTTCAAAACATTAACTACACCGTTTTGTAATTAAAAATCTACTACGGAACCCAAGAGGACGCATTGAGCTCATTAAAAAAAACTCAACTCGTAGTTAGAAGTTGGAAAATATTCATGCAATTTTTAATACCAAATTAATTTATTCACCCTTTGCTGTTGAAAAAATTCTTGGTGCGCTTGCTCTGCTCGAGCAGCTTGGCAGGCGGCATACCGTTCAGCTCGATGATGCAGGCGAGCTGGTCATTCTCGTCCTGCACAAGAACTTTACTCAGCGCCGGTTGCTTCAAGTGAATAAACATAGAAAAAATTATTACCTACGCGATATTCGAATACAAAATATTCAAGAAATTGCCATTTTCAATTATGCGGCCAACGCGAGTGAGATGACGTTTAATCAGCGGAAACGTTTAACTAAGACAATTTAAACTATATGTGTGTGAAGAAAAACGCGAAAAAATATACAACTTGATTATTTACGAAAATTTTTAGGCTCATGTTCCCACAAATGACATAAGCCAATTAAGAATACAATTATGAACAAGTATCCGTAAAAGTCACGATAATTACAGCCAAGTAATACAAATGATTAAATTACTAACATAAATTCAAATTGAAGAAAGTCCCTCACAGTGCAGCTTACAATAATAGGACTGTAACGAAAAGCATAATAAATGTAACATTGATCAGTTCCCGGACTGGTCGACGGGCGGTCTCACCTCGCCGGGCAGAAGTGGATGACCCGTGAGCAGCTCGCAGAGGATGCAGCCGAGGCTCCACATGTCGATGGACATGCCGTACTTGGCGCCCAAGATCACCTCGGGCGCGCGGTAAAAACGACTCTGGATGTAGGAGTACACGCGCTGGTTTTCGTAGCAGCTAGAGCCGAAGTCGATTACCTGCAAAACACAAACATGGTCAAAAAGGGCAAGAATGGAAGAATTGGTTTTGAGTTGCGTATGCAACAAAACAGTTACCGTAACAAGATCTAAAAAGGTTTAAAGGAGTCAAAAACGGTAAAAATATTTACTCCTTAGAACCTTGGAACCGAAGAAATCGCACACAGAATACCGGTACTAAGCTATTTCTATCAAAATTAGATCGAAAGGCAAAGGAATAATATTCTCAAGCCAAACGTAAAGGAAAAATACTTCGTGCGAAAAATAAGTTCATTTCTGACCATGAACAAAAAAAATACTCATTCAACGATGCTAACGATTAAAAACAAACATTGTCCGATAAAGGGAAGGTTCGTCTAAATATTTACTGTTTTTTAGCATCTTTATAACAATATTTGAAAATGAGATACCACAGTTATAAATCTAAGGTACCGATGAAATACATGAATATCTGATCAATTTCATTGTGATAAAAATTTCACGTTTTATCAATCAACATGAAGAAAGTCAATCAGAACATTTATTTGCATACAAATTACGACGTCGACAATTAAAATTGAATAGCCTAGGCTGAATTTTAGAGTAGAAATTAGCGCCAAGAGAGAGGTTATAACAATTTTAAGTCATTAACAAAGTCCTCCATGTTATCTGCACGTTTGCCATCTTCGAAATAAAACTTGAGTAACGCGTCATATAGAGAAATATCGGCTATTACATTACATTATTCTTGCAATACGACGGCTCAAAATAATGCATGTTCTAGATTAGAGTTAACACAAACTCCCACGAGACTTCCACTACCCAACGGTCCATGAAGGAGCGAGAATTTTAATAATGAAGACCCATTGCCATTGTTTCATAGGCAAAAGCTCACAAAATAAAAAAAAAATAATGCGATAAATTAGATTTTTATATGTTGGTCGTGGTAGTAGTATATGCGTGAATTCCCCGCAAATAAAACCAAAGAATTTTTCAGAACAAAGCGTTGTCAACGAATGCAGTTATAACAGTTTATGTACTAACATCAGTGAGAAAAATTTGCATCACGATGAACGCAAAACAATTGCAACGGAGAAGTTCCAGCAAGAAAGATGAACTGATACATGGGAAACTGGATCATCGGTAGAACAACGCGTGTTTTGTCAAGCAGAGTCTATTCAAATCAGTCTATTGTATAATGCTGAGAATGGATGAGCTCAGGACCCGCCATTTTATTCTTCTTCTACATTAACATTCAATTACTGTAATCGAATACTAGCGGAGCAACGTCCTGCTTGAGAAATAAGAAACCACTATTCCCAAATACTGTACGAACTGAACTTTTCGGTACATAAAGAACAATCATTGTCAGACGAATGCAAAATAAAAAAAACCTCACCCCACTGAAAATCTCTTCAAGGATATTTATAAACTTTCAGGTGATAAATAAAAAAGTAAATTGCAGGAATCGCTGTTGTGCGTTAGAGAATGAGAGTGCGCTTGCTCCAAGAATGAGCAAAACACTACGACCTATGTAGTTGAGTTCTTAGAAGAAATCAGACATACGGTGAATAACCGAAACATCACAAAAAAACGAAATCAGAAAATAATGCAAATTTTTCCGCTCACATTTCACAGAAGGAGTACAATTGTTTTGCGCTAGTGTCCTAAGAATAAGGATCACAATTAATTGGTCATTAACAGAAATGAAGGCAACGGGAAGTCCATTTCTATCACGTTCAGCACGTCACGTACGTCACGTCAGCGGCGTGAGTTTTAAAAACTGTCTAAAGGTTGAGGACCAGAGATACACAAAAATATATATCGAGGAAGTATGATTAATTCAAAAGCAACTGATAAGCAAATTTCATTTTCGTAACAGAACAATTCAGTATTGATTTTACTTATTGGGTTCATAAGTATTGTCCATAACAAAAGTTTAAAGTAGTCGTAAGCAGAATAATATGTGTGAGCACGTCTTACTAATAAAACAGTAAGGTAGAAATTCAGTTTAAAAAATTTGGAACACTAATTAAAAAAGATAAATATGGAAATTCTTATGCATTTAGTGGCAGAATCCTTAGAAGGCGAACACTTGAGCATAGAAAAAACACTAGGTAAAATGAAGAGCATTTACGACAAGTTTCCACGATCACGCAACAGAAAGAGACTGGATTAAATATCTACAATAGAGTCTTTGGCTCAAACAATTTAACCACGCATAACGGACTCTAGCGCACTCAGAATAGATTCCTTTCTTGAAACATTTTCTGCGTGGGCGTGGAACATCGGAAGACAATGTGGAAAAAGTAGTTCAGTTGATAGCTATTTTAATCATTTTCATCTCTCATGATTAGGTAAATTCGATCTTTTACATGAAAAAAGTAATCTTCAATGACCAATGAATTAGCAACTTTTGTGCTTTTTACAGGTCAAAAACTCGTAACCTTTAGCCATGTCTAAATACAATCTCGAAAGATCCTACTCGGACGTAAATCAGGTAAATAAATAAAGACATTGGAATTAAATTTTTCTGCAAAAGTCGCGGCTGCTGCAAATAGCGCATAGCCAGGATAGCGGCAGCAGGTGCCGCTAGCGTCTTGCTCCTGAGCGTCGCAGGTCGTATCTAGGCAAACAGGTCACCTGGAGCCTGTTGCCGATGCTGGTGTCTTAATTAAAGATGCTTCTGTTGAGTGTTATTTGTACGCGAGCGGCAGTCGGTGTTCATGCTGAATGCACGCACAGCTCAATAGCAGCGCATGCGCAACTGTGGTCGTGTTGGGGGCTGTTGCTGCTCAACTGAAGTTCATGCAAGTTCCCTGAGCTAATGCCGAGTGCTGTTGCTGCAAGTTGCGCTGTTCTAACAGAAGCACATACGTACATTGAAGCCCAAAAATTCTCCAATAACTTTGAACAGTCGTGTCGGTTTCTTGGTCTTCATAATGAAAAAATAGTTAATCACAAGTTGTTCAGATCTTCAACGATAAATGGTCTAGAACAATGATATCGCAGGAAAAAATTAAACAAAAGGAAGAGGTTGTTACTCGTTCGTCACCGTGCGTTAAAATAACAACGAAGTTCAAAACAGGCAAAAGATTGGACGAACGAGGCTGATGAGAAAACTTTGCGGTTAACAGCTAGTCAGAGCGTGAAAGGAGAAGTTCAGTTTGTCGTATTTTGCTCGTTACCAAAGTGGGTCGCCGACTGAACTTCCATAGAACAAAGAGAAGTTATTATTGGGTGTACAGCTGTGAAGCAGTGAACCAGTCACAAGCAGAGATGCATGCACATGCAGTTCTGTTTTAACAATTGTTAAACTCAGCTCTCAACTGGTCCTCATAACCGAGCGAACTTGAAGGCGAAGAAAAATTCTTTCTCGACGACATGTACTGTAGTTCATGTATGATTTTTCAGTTCAAGTATTTCAAAATGCAATTCTTAAGCTCGGAAGAATGATATATATAATCAAACAACACTCTCCCACCGCACACGAGCGACGACAGCATTTGATCAAAGCTATCCACAATATTTGTTCCTTCGTGTGTAAGATCGAGAGTCATCTTTCGATAGCTACGTGTAATAAACAGCGAACAATCAACGCACGGTTCCTTTTCGTAAACACTACATGGTAAACTTCGCTCTTATTGATCAAATTCATCAACTACTAAAATAAAACCCGCAGTGATTGTAGTGATCACTGCCGGTGGCATCATGAGAAGCTAGGAAAGTGACATCACGATGGAGATATTTTCGCAGAGGTCAGTGAAAATTGGACGTTATAATGCCAGTGCGGGGAAATGACCTCCAATGCGAGTAGAATGCAGCTCCAGTCTTATATTCTTGCAAGCTATATAACTATGCTACGAGTTCATCATTTGCTCAACACGAGAACAATAATAACTCTGATCTTTCTCAAACTAACACATATTATTTAGCTTGATATTTCTCAGTGCAACTGAGCTAAGCTAAGAATGAATATACTTGTTTGAACTCATAATGCCTTTGTTCAGTGAATGAAACAAGTGATTTTAAATAAACTTCTTTCTGAATTCCCTTCACACCACGCAAGAAAGCTGCTAAGTGTGGCTACATCCAACAATGGCCAACGAAAATTCAGGAAGTGGAGGAACAAAAAAATGAATTGGCTATTTTTTCAGGAACAAGGGAAGGCCACCAAGCCTCGCATAATCGTCCACAATAAATTGTGGGATCCGCGACACTCGCACGCAACATTCGCTGTGCACTGCGGTGACGTTGCCCTTCAACTACGGAAGGAATTTCACGGGTTGCAAACAAAGCCACTTATCGATATAAAAAATATGGAGCACATGCAATTAATGACTGCTTAAAAAACACTGGGAAACACAAAAAAATATGCCTAACATAAGTAAACAATGTTCTGATACAATTATTACCGGTGACTTGCCAAATGCTAGCGGAAGAAATACGCTAAAAGCCCAAGAAAGAGGTTTCAGCCCAAGAGTCCGCAGTTGACGTCTGAAAATACCCCAGCAAAGCACATAAATCTTTAACTATCGATTTTTTTTAATTTTTAAAGTAGTTAAAGATTTTAAAATCTTTAACTATCGATCACATAACTATCGATCTTTTATCATAGAAATGTACAGAGTGAAAATTAATATAATATTTGGCTCTCACGAAAGATCGTGTTCTGGCGCTCGTTCAGCGTACACCAACTGACGCAGTATCAAAATAGAGTTTTGCAGAGAGAGGCAAATTTCACAAAGCAGGCCGAGGGTCGAGAAGCTGAGAAAAGGGTCGGTCATTTGTACCGTCATTCATTTTACGGTAAAGATATTAATTTTTATAGGAAAGACTACTGGTTAAACCGGTAGATACCAATTCGAAGCCAAATCTTATCTTTTACGCTTGTCTTCCTACCTCAGCTGAGAATTTAATCCCCAAAATAGTAGAACGACTGGATAAAACCAATTTTGACAAGCTCACGCATGCTAAATGCATCATCTAAATTTTGACCAATTTTTTATTAACAATCATTT